AAAATAAACATATTGAAACCAGCAGATACTATTTTACCCATACATTTATTTATTAATTAAAAACCAGACCCAGTGTTTCCACTCTGCCAGACACTGAGATAAGCACTGAAAATTTTAAAGTCAATTTGATATCTGGTCTGTGTCCCCAAAGAATGTTAAGTGAGTTCTGACCTACTCTATCTGCCGTTGTCCTATAATGGGAGTATTTGAGTCAAATCTTTGAAGAGTAAATAAGAAAATAAAAGCTTGTCCCAAGACAGAGAGAAGATATATAGATGTCCTTCAGATTTAACTTCATACCCAGAATATGTCAAAACAGACCATATAGCATGTATGTTATGTTTATCTGTTTAAATATAGGTAATATGTGTAACTTTGTTGTAACATTTCTTGAGAGAAATAGGTATGGAGGATTCAATAACAATCTGTTTTCTAACCTACTCTATCTCCTGTCCTCCTGTGGTAGAAGTATATATTCTACCCCCATTACACCTAAAATTCCTTTATGCTTCAAAAATGCAACACTCAGTAAAAGGGAATTTTTGCACAAATTAATTATAATAAAATTGTGGTTTGGAGCAGTATTTTTTTGTAAAAAATGAGATAGCTCAGAAGGCTCCTGCATGCAAAAGCCATGACTGCCTACATAGTTAGATAACACATTCGTGCATTCACTCACCTTGAAGTTAACAAATGCACATTGACATTGTTTAAATGCTTATCAGTTTAAATGTTCCCTCTTCAACTCAAGATAACTGCATTTGTTAAAATGTTGCTATGATTTTTAAATTGTTTTATTTGTTCTCCTATTATAAATTTTTTTCTTGGACTTGAAGTATTCTGACCTTCAGAAAATACTGCATTTAATCTGCTACTCAAAGAGCAGTGACTCAAACTCTTCAGAAATACTTTAACTATTTTTGATCAAATGCATAGTGAATTAAGTCATACTGTATAAAATGTATTAACATTCAGCCTAGCTGATTATTCTAATCATGTATCAAATACATTTTAGTAAGAGAGAAATTTGTAAAGCACTTCTTAAAAGTCATATTATATATGTGTGTGTATATACATACATATACATATATATCTATATATGAGTTACTATAGATAACATACATATATACAAAATTTGATGACACTTACTACTAAGGAAAAATAATAATTCAACCAGACAGCAAAACCCTTTATATATATATTCCTAAAGTTAGCCTAAAGACTTTCCTATTTGTCGCATTCTGAAAACACCTTCACAATGCTTTATAGCGACTACAGTACAGGTCTAGGGTTAGAGGAGCACACAAGATAGTTCTTTAAGAATTCATGGGCTTTTTACAACATCTACAGGGCCCAGGGAGTAACCACACCAGTTAGGAGGCTCTTCCAATTACCCAGGCAGAATTTGCTAGTAGCCTGGGTCCAGGTTGAAGCCATAAATAAGGAAGGCAGCAGGAGTTTGATTCTAGACATTCTGTAGGTAGAGCTGTAGGATTTGTTGACAAGTTAAAAATGAGAAGTGGGGAAGAGGGAGTAGTTAAATTTGGGGGCCCAACCAACAGTAAAAGCAAATTGCCATGAGATGGGGACAACAGGAGATTGTTTTGGACGTATCACTCACCAATACGCTGGGTGGACAATGCAGCCATCTCTCCAAGTCTGGCGCTCAGAGGAGATCTGGCTAGACCAAAATTTGGAATGTTCAGGTGCAGAGAGAATTCCTGGAGCAAGTCTAGATAGGAGGCCAGGACAGAGTCCTGGGAGCTCCACTCTTCCAAGCAACACAAGAAGCAGTGGAGACAGAGAAGAAATGGCCAGGAAGCTGCAAGGAGAAGCGAGAGGGGGCGGGGTTTGGCAGCCAAGCTGAGGAAGTGGACAAGGCAGGGGTCAGGAGGATGGATTTAAACACAGGATACAGATAGATCAGTCAAGACCTGTGTGGGATTCAGTGCTAACATTCACAATGAAGACAGTGTTTGCAAGAATCCCCCAGGGAGTGGGGAGGGATGAGATACCTTTATCTTTTGTTTTTTGTTTGTTTGTTTGTCTCCCCACCACCACCAGGAATCGAACTCAGACCTTGCGCTTGCCAGGCAGGCGCTTTGCCGCTGAGCTAAATCCCCAGCCCCGAGATAGCTTTATCTTCAAGTTGGTCCTTGGGCAGAACAAAAGCTCAAAGGTACCTCTGAGGCTCAACCTCCAACTCTAGGCTGTGGTGTTCATTTTGTTTGTTTGTTTTTGTTTTTGTTTATTTGAGGACATCAGGAACCTTTCAAACTAAATAGTCAAGCAAGAAAGAGAAAAGGTGTCCCTTTAGGGCAGTGGTGGCGACCCTATGGCATGCAGTGGGCTGTTTCTATTACTGAAAGCTCTAAAAGGTTCACCATCAGGGGTAGAGCCAGAGGAGCAAAGCCACCGGCACCGGGCTCTGTGAGGAACCCTGCTTTCAGTCTCTGCTCCCTATCTCACACACACACACACACACACACACACACACACACACACACACAGTACTTTTGTAAAGACTCATGAGAGTACTATCCACCCACAAAGATTACTGAGACCTCTGTTGTGAGCAGGGTTCCCCATTATTTGTCCTGCAGTTTGCCCTGTTTCCTGCCCTCCAGGCAATCAGATAATGAAATCTGGGGAGTTCAAATGTCCTTTCTCCCTGGAGCCCTCTTTAGCTATTTGTAAATTAGTGGAACATGGGTTAGGGATGCTGGCCTGCCTATCTTTCACCAGCATTGCTTCCCCAAAGGGAAATCATATGCTAAGCATTCAGGGGACCCTAACTCAGTGAGAGCAATCCCTAAGCCCCACCTGAAATATCTTGTAGGAAAATCAGCAGATTTTTTTCTCTTTTTCAGATAAAATCAAAATTTTACTATTCCCCAGCTGCCCACAAACTCCAAGAAACAACACTGGAAACAGCATGAAACAATCTTGTAGGGCAAAATGAATCTAAGATACAGTTTTAGATAATAGCAACTTCTAAATAACATACAAAAATGACTAAATTCCAAATGCAAAGAAATTTAAAAGAAAAATTAGTCTTTTACAGCAACTAACATTTTATGTGCAACATCAGCAAAACCAAGTGCCTACCAGTTACTAATTTCTTATGAATACAAAGTCCACTGTATTTCTAGAAAGGATGGTTAGTGTTGGGCAAATTTTGTGTAATTTCTCAAAAGTAGAACTGTAAAATTAACCACAGGGCCAGGAGTGGATCTACGAATCTAAAATGTGAATATGAATAATAGGAATCTTGATAATACTAGGCTGTGACTTTAAATGTTGATTGTACTGTCACCTGTGGGAACAGTTTGTAACAACCAGTGATCTCTGGAAATTACCTATCTACACAGCAAAATAGTAAAGCATTTTAGTCAGCTGTGCCAGAAAAAAAAATAGAGTGTGTTGATTTAAAATACCAAAGTAAACAGTGTCAAGCAATACCTTACGTTATTAATGAAACGGACATTACTCACTATACAAACAACTGACTGCTTTTGTATGCATGTAATGTCTGCTGTCACACTAAGAATAGAACTTGTGTGATTTAAGTCTCAAGTAGTGATTTTACATGGATGGTCTACAGATCCACCAGCCGGTCCGGGAGTGTCTTAATTGTTTCTTGTATGAACTGAATCTTCAAAAGATATGGTTCCCCCTATAGTTTTCTACCACCAGCCATTGATGGAAGATATTTAGGGTTTATAGGTTCCTTAAAAAGATTGCTGGACAGAAAAAGTTCAAGAATCATTGCTAGAAAGTACTGATGAAAAGGTATGTGTCACTACAAAGTCACTAAAATCACAATTTGTCTGACAAATCCAACATTCTTGTATGACCAAGGGTAGCCAACAGGTCTTGTGAAGGTGACACACCATGTGATTTAGCCATTATTGCATTACAATAGCTCAGGGCACCAAGTCAACTCAAAAGCCCAGCACCGTTATGCCTCAGCTATCTACAACTTTATAAGTGGTTAGAACCAGTTGTAACCTTGAATTTGTATCATTTTGACCCTAAATTTAAAAATAAGTCTTGGAGTAGGTCCACAAGTCACCAGAATAAGTTGCCAAAAGGTGAACATCTAAACATTTTTATTAAAATGTTTATACATGTGTATAAAATATGCTATCTGATACAAAACACTATATAAGGTATACCAATAACTGATTTTTATAAATAAACCCTAAACCACTGGGGTTTTAAACATTAAGCGGAGAAAAGGACAAGACATTAACTAAGAGAATTTTCTCATGGGATAGCCATATTTCCTGCTGTCAAAATTTATGAGATCTTTTCACAAGGGTGTTACAAGTACTTGTCCCAGGCTAATCACCTTCATCAGTGAGGAACTCTTTCAACTAGACACTGAAAATACAAATGTTGCAGATGAACCTTCTAAACCACCCTATAGTGTGCTATTTGTACGCCTAGCTTTAAAACGGTGGTCTGCAGACCCCTGGTTAAGTAAGGTTGGTGGACATAGTTTTCAACTCTGCTGCAGAAATCACCCCGGCCGGTTAAGCCAGACCCTTAGGCGATGGGATTTTTACCACCTTTGAATTTGATGCAGTGAGACCTTGACCTTGCGCCCACAAGCAAGGCAGTTCTTACTGTATCAACACTATATGGCTTTGGAACAACCCTGTTTTTTCCTTCACCTGCCTGCCTGAAACTCTAAGAATTCCTGGAGGGAACACGCACAGGGAAAAGTTCCCTTTCCTCACTGGAGAAACTGATTCCTATTTCCTCTTGCAACTGGGGTCCAAGTGACACAACTTCCTTCTGGCTCCTAACGTCACGTCTTCCCAGGGAAGCCCGGTCTGCTGGGTCCCCAGTGAAGCGCGAATCCTGGGCGACCCCACAAATGCGTTCAAGTGAGGCTTCTTGTGAAATGCAGGCTCAGGGCTCCTCTTGCCCCTGGCACCTCCGAGGTCCTCGCTCTCCCCAGGGTGGCCCTGTGCCTGAGCCCTCGCACTCACCAGAAGAAGGTTATGCGCCACCTGGTACCCGAGCCGCGGGCTGCCCCGGATTCCCGGGGCCAGGCGCCCGGTGGCGTAGCCGTGCCAGGCCACCACGTAGGGGTTGTCGATGGTGATCCAGTATTTGACCTGGCTGCCAAAGTGGCGGAAGCAGAGCTCAGCATAATCCCTGAAGTGGTCGGCCAGGGCACGGTTGGCCCAGCCGCCGTAGACGTCCTGCAGGCGCTGGGGCAGGTCCCAGTGGTACAGGGTGACCACGGGCTGCACGCCCAGCTCCCGCAGCCGCTCCAGCAGGCGCCGGTAGTAGCGCAGGCCCTCGCGGTTGGGGGCGCCCGCGCTGCCATTGGGGAACACCCGCGCCCACGAGATGGAGAAGCGATAGTGGGTGACCCCCAGCTGGCGCAGCCCATCGATGTCGCGCAAGACGTTGTTGTAGCCGTCGCTGGCCACGTCCCCAGTGGTAGGGGGCGAAGGCGACGGGGCTCCCGACGGCCGGCCGGCCTCGCGGGGGTCGCCCGGGGCGGCGGGGGGCCGATGGGTGAACGTGTCCCAGATGGACGCGCCCTTGCCGTGCTGCCGCCAGCCCCCCTCGGTCTGGTAGGCGGCGCTGCCCACGGCCCAGAGGAAGCCGTCGGGGAACGTGTCGTGGAGGAGGCCCGCGGCCTCGGGCACCGCAGGGCGCGCGAAGCGGGCCCAGGTCTGCGCGCCGTCGCCGGGCTCCGC